CTCTCTCTCTCTCTCTCTCTCTCTCTCTCTCTCTCTCTCTCTCTCTCTCTCATGCGGGAAGAAGCCCGCCCGACTGCCTTTTCAAACCGTTGGCCGTCCCGCCCGACGGCCTGGTATTTGGCCGAAAACGAGTTTCCCGCTTGTTTTCGTTTTTTGTTTTTTTTTTCTGTATTTTTTTTTATACAGCCCAAATTTTAATGAAAAGTTTTTTTTTTTCGCCAGACCCCCTCCCTACCCCTCTTGCCACGCCCTCGGCCCCTCCTCACCCCCGCCCTCCTACCGGGGGCCCGTCCGACAGGACGTACGACCCCCGTTCGGACGGTCGTACGGTTGTAGGGTCGTTCGTACGGTCGTACGTACGACCTTACGATGGGGGCCCCGTACGTTGTACGGCGTGTTCCATAGAATCAACCTATCAATCAGTCGATTCCATAAATTGATTGATTGATTGATCAAAATTAATTGCGGGGATCGGACCCTAGGGTCTGTGCTAGGCCAGGTGGGGAGACTCACCGCCATGCTCGAGGGTTTCTAATTAAAATAAAAAAGCATATAAAAATGAAAAAGAAAACGTGTGGTGGTTTGTCATGTGGCAAGTTCCCACGTGACAGTTGCGCGCATTACAACAGGAATAAGAAGAAGAAGAAGAAGAAGAAGAAGAAGGAAAAAAAAAAAAAAAAAAGGAAGAAGAAGAGGAAGAAGAGGAATAAGAATTAAAGAAAAAAAAAAAGCATGGATATTGCCACGTGGCAACCACGACGAGGAGCAGGAAAAGGTCCATTGGAAGGGGTTTGGGAGACCGGGATCAGCATCCCAATGAGATACAGGATATCATCGCAAGAAGAAGAAGAAGAAGAAGAAGAAGAAGAAGAAGAAGAGGAAGAATTGAAGGAAAAAAAAACACGGTCGTTGCCACGTGGCAGCCGTGAAAAGGAGCAGGAAAAGGTCCATTGGAAGGGGTTGGGGAGACCAGGATCAGCAGCCCGATGAGATACAGGAGATCACTGCAAGAGTGGCGGGGACATCAATCAGGGAATGAGATGAAGAAAAAAAAGAGAAAAGAAAAAAAAGAACCTCGCCTAGAAGAGGAAGAGCAAGAATAAGAAGAAGAGGAAAAAACGAAGAAGAAAAGGAAGAAGAAGAAGAGGAAAAAGAAGAAGAAGAAGAATAGTGGAAACAGTGGCCAACTGCCTTACATACACCCTTCGAAAGCTCGTCAATACATAGCAGCGCGTACTCATCTCAGCTCACGCGCACATTCCCGGACACGTTTCGATCAGGGAATGAGATGAAGAAAAAAAAGAGAAGAAAAAAAAGAACCTCGCCGAGAAGAGGAAGAGGAAGAATACGAAGAAGAGGAAAAGACGAAGAAGAAGAGGAAGAAAAAGAAGAACAAGAAGAAGAAGAAGAAGAAGAAGAAGAAGAAGAAGAAGAAGAAGACGAAGAAGAAGAATTGATAAGCGAGGCCAATCGCTATGCGTCCATGTCTCAATGATGTACATTAGAGCACCTGGACGGACTAACAGCTCAACGCTCACATTCCCCGACGTGGTTCGTCTGGCTGCGCACCAGGGCTTATCAAGGGGCTATCCACTCTCCCACATCCACCGTAACGTTCCACCTTGAGCAAAGAGGGCCTTCCTGGCCTTGCCCTCCTCAAATATAGCCTGCGCAGACTCCTCGTCTGCAACTGACTAGGTGGGCGCTTACCTGACTCACTCGTAACTGACCTGGCGTGCACGTCCGCACATCCCGTCTTCGCACCACCTCACGTGTGCGTCTTTGCCTACGCCAGATTTCCAAAAAAGCACGTGTACCGGTCGGAGGTAGGGGCGTACAGTACTACTCAGGCATTTTCAACTGCTGTACAAGGCCGGTCTTCTGTACTATGTGCTTGCTGGTCTGGCAACCCACCCGTTTTTTTCCGGTTCCGGCCCTCTCGGCCACCGTGTCCCTCGTCTAGTCTCTGCCTATGCTATCTTCCTATAGTACGACCATTTCACTATTTCTCCCAGTCCCCAGACTCGCCATTCCCGCCCTCTGTCCAGCTGTAACAACCTCATGCTACTGTCGGTGCCTAGGCTCGATCCCTCCAGATTAACTCTATTGGTTCACAGCGCTCGAGCCCAGGATTTTCCCTTTCTTTCTAGTGTACACCCCAGATTCTCCGGGCCCTGCTACTTCCCTTGTCGCTTACGGAGCTACTCTGCCTGTCCCCTCTGCTAATTAATATACACCCCGGTTTGCCCGGGCCCTGTATCCTTCCCTTCCCCAGTGCACAGCTACACGTACCTCTACCCTCCCTACCCTCACGCTCATATCATACACCCTGGAACTAGGCACTCTTTCCTCCCACGTTCCTGTCTCCTTGATTCATCGTAGGCTCCCTCCTCTCACGTTCCCATGCCTGCTCCCTTCGATCTTCCTGTAGTATTCTAACCGGCTGCTCGGTCAGCGTCTTCAACGCTGCTCCGAACTGGCCGGTGGGTCTGGCAAATACCGCCAGAGTATTGGAAAAGAGCGCCGGGGGATACCCCCGGCGCCCCAGCTCCACGCTAACAGATAGCGCCGCTTGGGTTGCTGGATCGCTCGCATGCTGTTTGATCTTGTGCAATGCAGCTATCACCGTACCTGCCTTTGCTCACTTATCCGAGTACGATGTGAAATCTTGGAAGCACCTGAAGGTTAGCGGGTCTTCCAGCCCAACCTCGTCGTTCTTATGTTCGGGGCGGACGACAAACTTGATCGGCCCTGGCATAGCAGCAACTCTGATCACCAGAAAATCCCAGGAGTTGGTGCCATCATCTGTCCTTACCAGCATAAGCTGCTCCCCGTACTCCTTCATGAATTTATGACAGATGTACCTTGCTGCCAATACTCTCCGATGGTCACTCACATCACATGCTACACCCAACGTAACATCATCCACCAACCTGACCCCGTGCACCAGTCTCTGATCAGCTCCTGTTGAGCTAACGAAGTCCACCTCATGTTTTGCACACAGTACACACGCGAGTGATGGGCTTGAATTCTTCCCCATCGCGATGCCCACAACCTGCTTGAGAATCATCTTCCTACACATAACGTATGTATTCTCCAATTCGTAGCTAACCATCTGCCGGATCTGGAGAATTTGACTGTCACATAGCCCGGCCCCGGGCTCTTCCTACTAAGAGTTACCACTCGACCTCTTCTGCTCAAGCTCAACTTATACACTACTCTCGACTCCCACTGTTGCAGCAGCCAATCAACAGCGCGCTGAATCGCCACGTGCGGCAGCGAGGTGAACATCTCTTTGATGTCGTAGCTGGCCATCAGGGCCATAGACCTCTCACCGAATACACTCAACCTTTTTCCCGCCATCTCTAAGTTCTGTTTCAACATCGCCGTAACTTTCAGGTTGAAATGCTTGGCTTTGGGAACCTTCTCAAGCAGGAAATTCAGTACACGCGCTAACCTTCTCCCCACGGTCTTGGACCCTTCCGTACAAGCCCTGTCTCTTATACACATCTAGATGTGTATAAGAGACAGCTCCCCACGGTCTTGGACCCTTCCGTACAAGCCGGCGCTATTGGCCTCCACCTCGTCAGGTCTTTATGCTTCGGCATCACATAAGCTTGCCCTAGCCTGGCTGCTGGGTTCCAGGCCCCTACCTTGTCAAGGGCTTATTTCTTATACTCCATCCTCACTTGCTTCAGCACCTCTTTCTCGGATAACTGATATACTTGCAGGTAGGCGGCATTCAAGTTGAACATCATCTGAAGACCATGATGGTACGTTGATGGGCACATGACCACTAGATCCCCCGGGTTCCTGTCAACCGGGACAACTACGAGATGGCTCAACTTTGCTGCTACCTCCCTCGCTTGCTCCTCCGTGCATGCTGGTCTTTTTTCCGCTCGGTCTGATACCATCTCTTGGAACAAACTTGGATCAGCTACCCAGAGCAAATCCTTCCTCATGACTGCTTCCAAGGACCTTCCGACAGCTCGCTGCACTTCCGTTGGTCTTGTACCGGCCTCGCTCTGCATAACATTTTTCCCGTTGTGTAGGAACGGAGGAACCGTCGGACACTATGCTACCCTTGCTAACACATGTCCATCCACTCTTGGCAGCTTATCCTCGCTTGAAGTACACACCGTCGTGGCTTCCCTAGCTGCCTTCCGCTGATTTGCTAATACCTGTTCAACCGTGCTGTTCTTCTTCCACACCACTCTCACTCGACGTCGCAGCACCGTTTTAAGCACCGGATGAACTCTAGTCTTCTCCACGCACAGTACCACCGTGTCATGTAACTTCCTCTTTCTCAGTTGGTGGCTATATTTCACCCCCACATTAACCTTCAGCCTGATGTTCACTCCGGTCTTCTTCCTGATCACCGCCACTATCTTCTCCTTCAACGTTCTCCTCGTAGTCTTCGTCTTGAATTCCCCGGCGCACCTGTCTAAGAAGACCAGCTTCGTGACATCGAAATACTTCAGCTCCACTTGCTTCTTCGGTATCTCCAGTAACAGCCTGAGATATCCTTTCCCTCTACTTCTCGCACTCTCAGTCCCTACCACCGGCCCAACTGTGAATTTGCCTCCCCGTTCTAGAAGTTGCTTGGCTCTTCCTAGTGATAGCTTCATCCCATCCACCGCAACAGTTGACGTACCGTACCTCCTCCGAATAATGGACCACTTTTCTCCCCACACCTCACCTCCGGATGATACGATCTCCACCCTCTTCGATCCTGCTGCAAACCTGTCCTCTAGGAGTTCTGCTAAGCTAGAATACCGCTTTCCCTGCTCCACTAACGTGAAGTTCAAGAGCATTTTCCTGTGTATCGGCATGGATCCTTTCACCTTCTGTCTCTCCTTTTTACCTGGCCTGTGGCTCTGTTTCGTCCCTGCTCCGTGGCCGACGACATTCAATGCTGGTGAAAACCTCCCGATAAGGGTCTTTTCCAGCACCCGCAAGCTTTCTCCAGCACCCCCTGCTATCGGGAGAACAAGATACTTACTCCATCCAAAGACCTTAAGGAAAGAGTACAACTTGGGGGCATGCCCGTGATTACCGGCCTCTGTACACCGAATGTGCTCCCACCACCTCTCACCTGCTGCTCGTATTGCCTGCCCGATGTACAACCTCTTGCACCAAGGTGAAATCAAGCAATACACCACTAGTCCTCTAAGGTCGAAGAAATCGTGACCCGTAGGGGCCACCATGAGTACCTTCTTCACCCACGGGGCCACGGCACCCATCACCAACAAGAGGAACACTGCAATCACCACCTGCTCTATACAAATTCTGAACTTCGTAAACCCATACTTCCCCCAGACGTTATCTCGGAGCCCCATGTACAACAAGAGCTTGTCCCAGAGGTACCGTGCTGGAGGAGCGCACCGTCAATCTGCATGTGGATCGGTATCAACTTCCGACCTCTCGTCTTTTTTCTTGCTTTCGTCACTATCTGCCCCTGTAAGCCAACCATCATACGCCTCTCTCGTTTCTGCTGCTACCAGGTCCTTGATCGCTTGTCCTTTCGATACCCACCTGATGTTCTTCATCTTACACAGCTGCTTGAGCTCGGGTGCCTGTTTCGTCTGCATGCTCTCTCTCAGCCCGAGGACAAAATCAATCACCCCTTGTCTAGAGCTTGATGCCACTGCTCCTTTCTTCTTCACCTCTGCACTGGCTGGTTCTTTACCTTTCCCCATGACCGCTGTCCGCCTCTTAGTAATAGGCACAACTTCACTCCTTTCTGCAATGTTCACTCCCCGTTCACATTCATCCAAATCTAGCCTCCTCTTCGGGTTTGGGTAGGGCTTTGATCTGGGTCCCCTCGATACATCACCCTCGGTACGTTCGAGGAATCGCCGCAAGCTATCATGCATCTTTGCGCTCTTCTCTTCCGATGCCGTAAGCGTCGAATGCACATGGTCCTTGATCTTCTCCTCTAAAGCCACCATCTGTTTGGCGAAAGCTTGCGCTGTCGTGGCTTCCATTATTGCTTGCGCCCGCCTCTTTTCTGCCTCCTTCCTCTGCTTTGCTTCCTCCTGCTTCTGTTTCTCTTCTTCAAGCCGCTTCTTCTGCAGCTCAGCCTTCTTCTTCTCTGCTGCTTCCAGCTGCTGGCTCTCTACGAACAATAGCAGCCTGTTCAAACGATCTTCCTCCTCATTCCTCCTTGGTTGACTGTAGGCCCCCTGCCCCATGTTGCCTGATCCGTAGCTCCCCCGTCCCTGGCTTTGCCAGCTTCTCCCATTCTATTTGTACGGACAATCCCGTGCAAAATGCCCGTACTCTCCACAGTCATAACACGGCCCTGGCCCGACTGCTGGGAGAGGTGGAGGGGGATGAGGGGGAGGGGGAGGGGTGGGGCCTTGCGTGTGCACCCCTCCATTGTAATTGTCTGTACCTGGTCCCGGCGTCTGCGGGGGATACATGGCAGCAGGCCAACCAACAATGCAGACTCCTTACAAGATTAAGACTCTCCCTTGCTCAACTTTCTGACTGGATCTTCTCCACGGCGCTGGGTTTTTTTTTCCTTCCCTCAACTCGAACACCTCCAACCAACCGGCTTCAAACCTTGTCCACCTTTCCTCAAGCAGATCAAAAAGTGTACTTCAGAACTGCGCGTACTGTAAGCACACCCACGCTACCAACTTCCCTTCCACATACCTCGTACCTCCTAGCTAGTCTCCACTTGGCACACCGCTAGTCGTATGTTCAACGTTGTAGTAGGTCTTCAATATGCTGCAGCTACACCCTCATGCGCTGCAGGTCTTCAGACCACTGCATCTACACCCTTCCTTTGCCATGCACTCCCTCCAGGAGTAGCTCGTTCATCAAGACCAATATCCTGGCTCGCTCTCTTGCTCAACCACTCTTACTTACTTGATTTACTTTGCTTCAGTTAGTTCGTAACGTATATATCCAACTCTACCTACATCTCACACAGCAGACCACATTATTTTTGTCACAACTCCTCCTTGTTTTCTCGGCTCACCGTAACTTTCTGACGCTAATGCAGACAACACTCATTTTTCACCGCTATACACGCATAACCCAAGCACACTATTTTGGGCAAGACTACCACACACGTTCGTTCAACGAAGCTAACCACCTCACGCATAACCCAAGCACACTATTTTGGGCAAGACTACCACACACATTCCTTGAACGAAGCTAACCACCTCGCAATACTTAAAGCAAACGTCCCGTTATTCACAAACATGCCGCTTCTACCTTCCACAGTTGTAGCGTCAATACTCCCACCAGAGCTACTGTCCGTTTCCGTTTTCGGTCCTTTTGCTGCTTGGCGACGTCCGTTCCTGCTGACATGGCTCTCTCACCGTCGCTCGCCTCGTCTTTTGTGTAACAAGGTACAAGAACGCAAACATTTTCCCAATGCAGCTCGCCTCTATCGTCGTGCTCCGCCCTCTAGATACACTTTTCTCGTTCTCGCCTTCGGCCCTCCCATAACTACTATCATGTTCAGTATAACAACCACTCCCCTCCTTGGTGTTAGTCACGGGCTACTTCAACCTTGCAATCAGCCGATTATATGTCCTAAACCCCGATCGACGGACGTGCTCACAATTGCGGTGTTCGTGGTCGACACTCTCCCGCCGTCATCAGCCTCGTGTTACACACCAAACTGAGCGATAGACATCCATGCCCATTACGTCTCGCCTCTTCTGTTGTACTCCACCTTCGAATATCACCCGCTCCAGCTCTATTATCATGTTCAGCGTATCAGCCATCCTCCTCCTTGGTGTTAGTCACGGGCTAATTCATCATTGCAATCAGCCGATTACACACC